CTCTCTCTCTCTCTCTCTCTTTCTGTCTATATTGCTTCCTTTTACTCTTCCTTTCTCTATCTTTCGTGTGTTCTGTTTTCTTGTTTGTCGTTTTGATCTTTTGAAGAGCGGGCGGGAAATAAATCCAAGAGGAAGTCTCGGAAATCGAGAAAAGGTGTACATACATAAAGGAAGCGTTGTTTTTTTGACATTCCTTGCATGCCCTGCCTGCATCTGCATGCGATCACTTGCACGATCTGACGTGTTTTTGACCCTTGCATGCGTACATCACGATTACTATGATTGTGTATTGTGGGTTGGAAATGACAATAATGGCGATGACAATGACGACAACGACGATAAAGATGATAATGACGATAATTATGGTGATGATGATAATGATGATAATGATGATAATGACGATGATGATAATGCGATGATAATGACAACGAGGACGATGATCTATGATGATAATGACAAAACTGAAGCCGAGAAGCCGCGAAAGTGCTCCTCGCTCCTGTATGACACGCACGCATGTCATTGTGTTGTGGGAAAAAGCATTATCTTCTCTCTCACACATGCACACACTCAGCACACACGGAACTGAACATCGTATTCTACGTATACACATCGATCGAGACTTACGTGTCATATGTATGACGAGTCTCGTCAAGAATCACTCTGTGAGAGATTGGTTAGACTTGCTTAACTTGGCAGGAAGAAAAAGATGCCTTCCTATTACAAAATTTAAAAAAAAAATAGATAAATAAAAGTAAGAGATAAGATTTTAGTTATTTTGATTAGAAATAATTTTTTTAGAACATCTTTGTCTCTCTAGTAATCTTTACATGTCTCTGTCTCTGTTATTTACGGTGCGCAGCATAGTATACAAAGATAATGCAACTCGACGAGCAGTTAAAGAAATGACGGGGAAATTTATCTTTCCCTATGTTGAATAAAATTCTACACGATTGTAATTTGCAATAAAAATGCGAAATTACTTTAACGAAAGTTTTTAAGGACGATTTAAAAAGAAACGAGAACTATAATTACGAATTGTAGAATTGCAAAGATAATAAGCAGATATATTTCACGGTTAGGTAACGTCCATCTTGGACGAAAAGAATATCTCCTCTCCAATTCAGTAGCTGTTCAACGAGAAAAATAGATGAACGGAGCAATTGAATACAGAGACTAATTAAAAAAAGGACGAAGGAATATACGTATATAAATATATGTATATGCAGGGCGCACAAGGAATATTAGAGTCTGGGTTGTGTTACGTCTGTGTGTTGGGTGTATCATGTTTTGTAGTATCACGACGCGCCGGCAGTTTTATTGGACTTCTTGACCATCGTGAACTTGGTCGTCACTCTCCTTTTCCTCATTGAGTGCATCCTTAAACTCGTCGCCTTCGGATGCAAGGTATAAACAAGCCTCTTAAATCGCTCTAATTCCATCTCACTCTCACTCGACTCACACTGCAAATTTTTACTTACCACTTGTAACTCCATCGAGACTGACATCATTCACCGGTCGTCATTGATTGTGTGATGTTACCGGTCGGAGGATTCTCGTGAAGAAAGTGGGGATCCCAAAAACTGGCGAGAGGAACAGAAGGGAACACGTCGAGACATCGCGAAACTGTTTATCGCGAAAATGCAGAGTACCTTTATAGTTTGCTCTTAAGTAGACCTATCAAGATTTAAAGTAAACTTTGTGTGTGATATATGAAATTCTTACTAGTATTTTGAATGGGCATTTATGAGGTAGCGATTGCCAGAAAATAGGACACTTGACAAAAATTACTACATCGCTGAATTTCCTTTAAATATTGGACATCTAGATATCAAATCGTTTTAACATTGTTAAATATAAGGAATTAGAACTATTATTAAATGGTTTAATTAAGCTCTAAGTAAGCTTTGACGGGACAAGTAGATATTAAGATCTTGATCTCTTTGATTAATTGTACAAAAAGATTATTTCTTCAAAGAAACTTTTATACAACAATTACCAAAAAGTAAGTGCTGCAAATCAAACAGTTTAAACGAAAGCAGCGACTGACTTGCATCTTTGCTGAGGAGAAATCGTTTGGAAATGAGAAAATGAGCTCTTTGATATTAACTTTAGAGAAGAGATTGATAGTAATTAGATAATTTAACATTGCTTTTTACAAACCGCCGCCGGCGACAACTCCTATTTTCTGGCGAAAGTAGAAAAATGTTGAATATCAAGTTAGTATTCGCGTGTCTCTATCTCTCTCACTCTCTCTCTAGTTTGCTTACTATTGCCGGCATGCTCCCGTAGATACTTTTCTAGAAGAGATCCCGTCACTTATACTCCAGCCGATCATCGATCACCAAAGCGTGTGATTTGGGTAAACGCTTTAAAAGGAATTCTTGCGAGCAGATGTCTTCGTCTTCGTGGATCTGAAATTCTTCGTAAATTCTACTATGTTTCAAGTTGAATATCGATAGACATTGGCTCCATCGTAATTGTACGAAAACTTAAAAGAATTATATTTGCTTTTTTTTTCTGCACGAAAATCGTGTATAACAAAATCACGTATATCTTTTGTTTTATTTAATCATTTAATTAGTTAAATTGTATTACATTTGTCATATATTGAAATGTGAGTACTCTCGCTTTCTACAATGCATGACTGCTACTTTCAATAATTACAGTAATTTGCGACATTTTAAAATAATACAAAATCACTAATCGTCACAGAACACTATATGTTCGACCACGTTGACTGAACGAACATAATTGGATACCATTCCACGACGAAGAGATCTGATCAACGATCGTTATAACATTCAGGAGCACCGTTCAGAGAGGCACACGTTACAGAATTTCGACCTTATAAGTATTATGTTCATAATAGGAGTGCTCACGAACACAGACATGCACACAACACACGTACACAGGCACTCTTACACACAAGATAAATAGCGTACATTCACAGAAGAAGCGGATTTTGTGCTATACTTTTCTTGTATCTCGAAGTCGAACTTGTAGTTTCTTCTCTAGTGGTAGCTACGCAAACATCTCACAGACACCCGAGCTACGCCCAAGCTCGTTCAATAGATTACCGAACATGTCAATGATTAGTCCGGATTACTTGCTTGCTGTTGATATTTATTATTACATGAATCAAGGCACGACGAGGGATAGGAAATTATAAAAGAATCGAACGGACAATAAGAGATCGTTCGTCGATGTAATATTAGCTTGCACACGTTATGTTTGTTTATTTCTCAATGATTGCCTTATTAATTTCTAAGCAGTGACAAGATTGATCGGGATACATGACAGTGAGGCAAGCAACGTAGCAATTTGAAATGTACGTAATGTGATTTAAAAAGTACCGTGAGAAATCTTATGAAAAATATCAAAATGGTTTTCGGAAAGAAATTATATTTGAGTATAGTTTTTGTGTAAATTTTTGTTCACAATCAGCGGAGGCATAAAATCTAATTGGAACGATACTTCCTGAATTGATAGTTTTGTGTAAAAAAAAAATGAAGAAATGTTATTTTATTCATCGACTAGGTATGTGCATATTCGTTTTTTTTAATTGCGCATTGGATCCTTTCCCTTCTTTTTTTATTCTTATTCTTCATGGTGTCTTGGCCTCGATTTGATGTACAGAATTGCGTACCGATAATTAGAGTGTTGATCTGTATCTGTTGCAATGGAAAACATGTCGGAGCTGTTTAGAGAGCTTTGGGGTAGTAGAAATGAATAATTTAATCGGGGGCGATGAGGCCACGTTGCTAATTAATTTTTTCAACTGTTCCCGCGAGCAGAACTTCTTCAAGGACGCCTGGAACACCTTCGATTTCATCACGGTGATCGGCAGCATCGTGGACGCTCTCGTGATCGAGTTCGGGGTACGTAGAGCACCGGAAAGTAGCGGAAAAGAGAGTATAAGTGTGTTAATTAGTTACTAAAACCCGTAATAGAAATATTCCAGGTATATATGCACATGTAATCGGGAACCTTCCAGGAAACCCGAGACTAGGCTGTGATTATGATGATTGCTTGCTCTGAGGGGAAGCCATTCCGATGAAATCGCGCCAAATGTCAGAATTGTTCTTACATGTTGATACAAATAAAAATGACCGCAGTGTGGACCAGCTAGATAAAATGTTTTGCATTTAGGTACATTTGTGCACGGCAAATGTAATTCTAAAAATTGTTGTAGAACAAACTAACCATACTTATACGAATGTCTAATTACTTTCAAAGTAGTGCGATTAACGAGTGTTACTATTGAAAATCGAGATTGCGAATCAAAAGTTAAGAGTTCGTATCACCCAAGAAACGTAGAGTTATATTTGAAAATTTGAAAAAAAAATATATTATGCATTCATCGCGCAGGATAAATAGGGCGTAGTAATGTTGAATATCGTGCCGATTGTTTCAACATGCTAGATTAATTCTCATTTTCGAAACGAACTTGTCGGAATGCGCTTTTCGTCAGAACACGCATCTGTGATAGTGGCCCTTAATCGTCGCGGCAGTGTTGCTTGATGTGTACCTTTTGTGTTTCGTTTAACCCTTTTGCTGCTTACTTAGATTCGTCGTGCAAAACCCGTGTGACGAGCTAGCAGGTAAATTACGACAAATACCTTTGTATTACCTTTTAGCTTCGTGCTGCATTCATACGCTACATACATCACACTGTACATCGCTACATTTGCACAGTATACATTTACGCAGTTATATAGTGAAAACAGCTGTACATACATGTACATACATAAACATAAACATGTTCCTGATCCTGTCCGTTCTTTGTATTAGGAACATTTCTTTCTATATTGATACCCTGTGACTTAGATATTAATATCCTTGGCTAATGTGGGATTTGCGCCGGGTCCGATATCCGATGTACGACGCCCGATACTCAAAATGATTGGCTCGTACCTTCGGTTCCTCGTTGGATCTGAGAGTATAAACCGATCATGGGCTCCGTTTTGTACTCGGTTACCGGTTACAACTATCGATATCGTTAACGACGTTTGCGCAGCTTTTTTATCATGTAAAATACGTCGTTAACGATATCGATAGTTGTCGGTAACCGTGTACAGAATCGCGCCCCATATTGGATATCGCATGTCGTACATCGGATATCGGATCCAGTGAATTCTGCATAATGTTAGTTATATAGTTTGGAAGAAGAAAGGGAGCAAATACCGTGTAGCGTGATGCCGAAAGATTTCTTCCAAATCATATAATGACGTTGGTCATTTTCAATTCCACTGATGTAGCGATTACAATCTAGCCGATAATATGTGTAGGATATAAATATAATATATTGATTTGCAAATCTCAGAGAAACATTCAGTAAAAGTTTGTGTCGAAATTTTGTATATTTGCTGCCTGCGCTTGCAAAATACTTTTTATAAAGATGTGTCTTAGAAGTACAGGTAAGAAAATAGCTAGAATTATCGTGAAGTGAGTATTGGTCCTGATATTAAAGTGAGCTGCTTACGAAGTTACTCATCGCCAGTGTTGATTGCCAGTCATTAGTATTTCTGTTCTTACTGTATAAAATGCCAAAAGTTGAACGATCAGAAATTCATTGGGGATGGAATAATCTCGCAATCTCACATATTTCTGTAATAGGACTGGTTTTCGAGCGTGCCCAGTGATGGCCAGCTAGGCGAAAAGAAGGTATAATATAAAATTACTATCCAGTTGTTACGTTGACGACATAAGTTGGAGGAAGTTACGATGTTGCAAGTACAAAATCAACATTAAAGACCGCAACTCTAAATTTAGTTTCTGCGTAGAAATTCGAAATAAGTCTTTGTTTCGAGAAACTGCTATGAAATTATGATTTTAAATATAGATATCTTTATGTGTTACTATTGTTTTATATATATATATGTATATATATAATATGATAACATATACATATTAGCAACAATTATGGTAAAATGGTGATGATGATCGACATGATTTTATTTGTGATTATTTGCAAGCAAAAAGAGACACACACAACTGGGTTTCGAATATAATATTTTATATTCTCGAGGCCCTTCCTAAGTAATTTTTAGGCCAAGTCAAGTTTTATCCCGTTTATTTATCCTGTGCATGTACTTTTCAGAATACATAAACTATTCGTACATCACACTAACAGTCTCGAACATTTTACAACACTGAGTACCACGAATTCAGATCGTTACACTGTAGTTACATTACCATTTAAAGGCATATGGATGCGGTGTCTAATCCGTCTCGGTCTCGACTTAATCGTCTTCGTATGAAGAATCTTCGATGTAATAATGGAACATAATTGAATTGTTACAGCAAAAGGGTTAGCGTAACGTTTTTTGTTACGTAATTGCAATAATTGAAGATTCAATCGTTATAGTAAAGCATAATTCTCTATTAATGTAATTACAGTTGAGAATCATCAACGCATTAATTTGAAACTCTAATCCATTTAAACTTGTATTAATGTAAAAATTAATTAATTAAATAAATCACATCAATGCAATCATTTGAATCTAGTTGGCTTATACTTGTGTTGATATAAAAATTAAATCTGTATAGGAACAAGAATAATTTTCAATAAAAAAAAAGAACACTTAATCTACTGAAATATAACAGAAAAACAATTAGTTACTTGTCAAAAAATGTACCTATTTATTTTGACAGTAATAATCCAATGATTAGTGATTATTAGTAACTTTTATAATTAGATTCATTTTTTTCGACGGCGATTTTTCTTAAAGAAGAAATTAAAGAAATATCTCATCGAGGTTTTACTGCCGTCCTCATATCCCACGGGAGAATGTCAGTTCACTTCACAGCTTCGTTCGTGCATCGCCGAGGATAGGAAAACGCCGAAAGGGATTGCTGATCCTTTGACGCGTGGCATGCAATACCGAAACGCTGCACGCACGAAGCTTCGTCATGGCGCGTAATAAGGAATCGGCATTTTGTGGGGTTAAGTGCAATTTCCTCTGTCCCCTGCAGGAGAATTTCATCAACGTCGGCTTTCTAAGGCTCTTTCGCGCCGCCAGGCTGATCAAACTACTCAGGCAGGGATACACGATACGAATTTTACTTTGGACCTTCGTACAATCCTTCAAAGTAAGCACGTGAAATTAAATCCTGATTTCTTCACTGTTGACTCACATTATTTTCAATTCAGCGCGCAGCAATGATCTCTAATCATTCAACATTCTAGATTGCTGTAAATTTAGCTCCATTTATCATCAATTTCTACAGCCATGATTAATTATCGAGATAATAAAAATTCATTCCTCTTTCAGGCTCTGCCTTACGTTTGTCTCCTCATAGCGATGCTGTTCTTCATCTACGCTATCATCGGTATGCAGGTATGAATCCTCTTCCGTTGCTTCGATTTCTCGGGAAGTCCCTACGAATCGTCTATCAAATGCACTTTTGGGAGTTGATATGCAGAAGGGTATTATACAGGATTGAAATAACATGATCACTCGAGCAACTATTGTAGTTGATTGACAACAAGATTTCTTAGTTCAATGAAATTAGAAGTTATAACTAAAAGTATCACCAGATTACGAATATTATCACATAGAAATAACCGAATATTATTACGTAGATGTAAATCGAATAATAATTATCTTAATATGCTCTACGTGAAGGAAACAAATACGGAATTGTTTAGTCTTGCACAGAAAAGATTGTAGGTATTGATTTTATACGGAAAAAAGTAATAGCTTTTTAATTGATTAAAAATATATTTGGTCGATGCTCTTCACGATCAAGGCTTATCGATAAAGTAAAGAGATTATCGCTACAACATTATTTAGATTTCTCTAAAAGCGAGAGCCATGTAGTTCGGCTTCGAATCGAACGAGAAACGTCCGAGATGATCTCGAGTTAGTTTCTAGCACGCGCAAACTTGCAGATTGGAAATTTTAAGTGACAGACAGCAAATCCCCCCGATGGCCATTAAGTGACCCTGAAATTGTCCGTTGTCAGGTCTTTGGCAATATAGCGAACAATCCGGAAACAGAGATCAATGATCACAACAACTTTCAGTCCTTCTTCGCCGGTCTTATGTTGCTTTTTCGGTGAGTCGAGCAGCTAGATTGACTGCCGGTTCGACGGTGACGAATGAGATGATCTCTGACCAATTACTGGCTGATCCAATTGTCATTTCCCTTTCGTACAAAGAAACGCGTTCTCAAATAAGCTAATGCTTTTACTCTTTTTCTAAAATTGAAAGGAACAACTTTCTTGTCCGCACGAAATTTATCCTTGTACATAAGAAGGGAAAATGATTTTGGCGTACAGCTGGCATATCGTCACGATCTTCTACGATGTTTCGCAAAATCCCCACGATGTCATGAAAGACTAGCATGAAAGAATTACTTCCTTATCGTTCGTGTGTTATAAAAAAAGAAAAGATGTTACACCGTACCTTCGCAATATTTAAATGTTTTATTTTAAATGTTTCAATTTCGCTTCTAACAGTTAATTGACAAAATGATCTTTTGTATTAGGATATATATATATTGCAACATATTGATCATTGGTCGTCCTTTTTCGGCACCTGGCGAAGCACCGTTAAAGATCTCGTGCGATACTGATGGGAGATACATCGTCGACCGTAGAGCGAGAAGTTGAGGGGAATATATATAAAAGTGTGGTCGTAAATTACCTCTAGAGTAATGCTTTGTTGGCATGAGCTGTAACGCGAGAGTAAGCTGCTCGACGTGTTAATCTGTTGTGACTCATCCCAATTAGTAACAGCCCTATAGAGAAGTCTGTTTCATATATGCCTGCGTTAAAGTCTTGAAGTTTTGATTAAGGTGGTGCTTGAGAGAATTTCATTACGAATATTGGTTAGTATTTTATTTTTACTGCGCTATATATAATGTTAAATTTTTTGTAAGCCTAAATCGACGACGATCGATCTGCTGTCTGAAATTGTCGGCAAAAGTTGAGCTCGTCGAAACACTGAATTAAGAGGAGTCTTTTTTTATGAATCAGAGTTTTCACCGTTCGTTTGGACAAATCGCTATCATTTATACCTTAATTCTCTCGAGTACACCGTGTACTTGTTGAAAGAAAAAGTATGAGAAACTGTAGTTAGAATTGAATTCTATGATACTCATTATACACGCATACACAAAACCGAGATCGGAGCGATACAAAGATCGTAAATAGTGGTCATCCAGCGAGAAGGAAAGCAGAGGACATTCCAATTATTTTCGTTCGATATTTCGTTATTGCTTAACAAAAAAAAAAGTATATTTGGTGACGTAAATTTGTAATGCCGCCCGTGCCTTTTGGCTGCGGCCCTCTTCTTTCTGTGGGTCTCAGGTATTCGGTAACATCGCGCTGGATGCTGATACTTCTATTACCAAGCACAACAATTTCCAAAGCTTCATACAAGGTCTGATGCTGCTTTTTCGGTAAGTAACGTCACGCCAGAGGAATCTAGCTAACTGTTTAGCTATTGAACTTGACCACGCGACTATCAGAGTGACTTGCAAAACGATCGAATGAGCTTTCACGCTCAACACCTGCGGCAAGCTACTTATCACTTATCACTGTGTTACGATTTGCGAGAGCACGATACAGAAGACGATCCAAGTTTTTCGTATTGTGATGCGAAAGCAGATTGATCTTTGGTGACGTCCACGTGACAAGGAATTAATTGATGGAAATTGTTTATGCGGCACTAATCATGCATCGCAAGTGTTGCAAAAATTCGTTGCGTCGATTAACTTCCACTGCATTATATGTAAGAAGATTCAATTGTATTGAAATTTTTACACAACATTTAGACATTTTGTTAAAATTACCTTCAAGCGAAGATATGATTACTGCACTCGGTCCAAAAAAATATCGAGTCGCTTTTTCGACTTATGCTATTCTCACGTTGAGCGTCCCAATTATCACGAGTATCGCGGAGTCTTCTAATCGTTTAATTCATATTATTTCCGGATGTATGTTCACAGCAGGCCTTTTCGCTTCGATCCAACCACGTATTACTGTAAAGTTCCCAGCACTAAATCAAGCACAAAAGCAGAATCAGGCTAAACGACACGGCATATTCAGAGCAAACAGAATAATACACAGCAGCCTCGCGTAGAATTAAATTCACCGTATTAAGTTTCGCATTTAGATCGCCTTTGATGTTGCGTAAACTGTCGATGCATGACGCGCTTGCAAGAAGACTGGGCCTAATTATTTGCTCTCCTCGGTCTCGGAACAGAATATGCAAAAGTATAAAATACTGCCCGTTAAAAAGCTTTAAGTAATAATTTTGAAGTAAATTTAACATGAAGAAATGAGTGATAGTCGAGTTTTTATTTCTATGCAATTCTTATGCAAATAGGATGCATGTAGCAATTTATTACAGCATTTAGGATTTTATTAAAGGACTGAGGAGATTATAGAAACTAAACTTAATGTATGCTGCAAAAGAGGCAATGTCGTAGTTGGCCAAAATATCGCATGAATTTTTGCAATTTTTCAGTTTAACTTTTTTGCGATTGCAAAAAGATGCTGCTTAAATATATTAACTTGGGATTGCTTGTAGCACAAAAGAACTATACTTGAGAATAAATATTTACGACGCAAATCCACTCACGGGTCTAACTTTCTAGACAGAAAGTTGGAAAGCGAAATATGTGTTTCTCATTGTCAGTATAATATAATAATAATTTTTATCTTAAATTTCGAAATCTCGAGACACAGTAGATTTTGATTTTACGAGATTATTATCGAGTCCCTGCTGGATTGGCATATTGAATTGATTAAAACAACATTTCAGTTAATAATCACATACATATATACATGTATAACGTGGATTTGTACATAGCCGTATCTATTCTCACGTGCATTCTCAGTCGCCAACTTTCTGCAATAATCTCATGGTGACTTTGTTTGAGAGTTTAACATCGGTTAAGTTAGAATTGGAAGGTCTGCATGCGGTTGAAAATATTAGCGTAACAATCGCGGCGTGTGCGATACGCTAGCTAGGTCGTTGAAGTAATCGCAACTCTTGTTTCAAACAATGTGACACGGAAAACGCATTGAAAACGCTGAAGACGCGATTTTGTCAGGTGTGCCACGGGCGAGGCCTGGCCGAACATCATGCTGTCCTGCGTGAAGGGTCGTCCCTGCGACGTGAGGGCCGACAAGCAGGAGCCGGAGGGTTGTGGCTCCAACATCGCCTACGCCTACTTCGTGTCGTTCATCTTCTTCTGCTCATTCCTCATGCTGAATCTCTTCGTCGCCGTCATCATGGACAACTTCGATTATCTCACACGGGACTCGTCGATCCTGGGCGCGCATCATCTCGACGAGTTCGTGCGGATCTGGGCCGAGTACGATCCGAACGCCACCGGCAAGATCCACTACACGGAAATGTACGACATGCTGAAGAACATGGACCCGCCGTTGGGGTTTGGCAACAAGTGCCCGAATCGGCTTGCGTACAAGAAGCTCATCAGGATGAATATGCCGGTGGACGGTGACGGCAAGGTGAACTTCACTACAACACTGTTCGCCCTCATTCGCGAGAATCTCAGCATAAAAATGCGAAGCGGTAAGTCCATCGAAATCTGGCGTAGAAAAGAAACTGGTTATTGTCGTTTCGTGCAAAACATCTTATTTTGCAGTTATTTCTTTTTTACTTTTCACGCTATTACAGCTATTAATCATGCGGCATGCGAATAATTTCAACTCTTTATCTCGTTTCAGCCGACGAAATGAATCAAGCCAATGACGAACTGCGGGACACGATCAGGAGTATCTGGCCTTTACAAGCGAAAAAGCTGTTAGATCTTTTGATACCTAGGAACGAAGGTAAGCTTCGCTCTTCAGTATCAAGCGAGACATATTTTGCAACACTTGATCACGCGGTGATTTCTTCCTTTCAGAGTTGGGCAGAGATAAGCTCACCGTGGGTAAGATATACGTCTGCCTTCTGATACTCGAAAGTTGGAGGTCGACGAAGTTTGGTCAGCTAAAGTCTGCCGAACAGGTGAGTCTCTCTTTCTGTTTCTTCTGTCGAACTAAATTTGTATATTTTCATAAGAATAATGAACCTAAATTACGTTAGTATTAAGTTTCTTTCGTGATTCTTCAAGTACGATTTTCTTGTTTGACTTTTCTGCTCCCGGTAAGCGAGTTCATTAAATGTAAGAGATATACGTAGATGTGTGCGTAAATATATATTTCTTAAATAATTCTATCTTGTGTGCCTTTCAAGGCGTTCAAACGTTCACTGCGGAAGAAACAAATCGGAAAATCGAAATTGAGGATCTTAATTAAGAATGGAGTTCGAGCGAATTTTTGTCGTTGGCTTCCTCGTGGTAGGACAGCCACGCGCGAGTGAAATTGCGTATAGAGTATTTTCCGGAAGTCTCGTGTAGTCTAGCTTGGATCACTCGGAGCTTGAATATAGTCACTTTTTCGGGTACAGATGACGATAGATATACTTGAATTAACTTATAGATTTACTAAAATTTTCTAGATATCTAAATTGTAGCCTTGATATCTTATAGAAAAGTTGAATTCAAACTTTACTGAGAAATAAATCTGATTGTTACGATCTAATATGCGAAGGAATAAAATAGCAGGAAGAAAATAGTACTTTACCACTTGTAGTCCCATTGAATTTAATGGAACAACAAGAAACAACAAACTAGTCGAATTATTTCACGATTATTTTATTTTCACAACTATTCTTTTTATTTATAATAGCTAAGTCAATGTTTGTAGAAACAGTTAGATGTGATCTTATTCGAACATTGTATCTCGAAATTTGTGCAAGTACAATTAATATAGATTACCAGCCTTTGATCTATCGATTGCTATTAATTTACTTTAAAATAATTTGTTAATACGAATCATCCTTTTAAAATTGACGTGGGGCTAAAAATTGTATCCATCAAAAGTTTCTTTCAATGACAATCGATAGATCAATTGGACAACGATATTTTTATATCATAGATAGCCTGAAAATTTTGAATGGATTTCTATTAGATTAGATAACAGAGAACATGATATTTATTATTTTGTTATCAGGGAAAATTATTATGAATTCTCGAGCAAACAGATTAATGGCATCTAGAGTAATTAACAGCGATAGTTTATTTACCGATCAAATTATTTTTCATAAATATACTTGAACCGGAAAGATATTCACACAAGTTTCAATCATCTTCTTGTGTCTTTTTTCTTTGTTTTCCAGAACGATAACGATCTTATCGATAACGATAATGCTGGGCAAAGTCCTGCAGCCCAGGCGGTAGTACTTACTTTTTCTCTTACTTATTATCTTATCTTAACACTGTTTCGTTTTTCTTTTGGCTGTACGATTTGTGTTCGAATTCTAACCACACTCATCCGTTTTGCATTAAATACGTACTGCAAAAGTTTCCCCAATTTCTTTATTAAGATCTTCACTCTAATATTTTATAAAAAGGTCTTCTCAAGAAAAGAAGCGAATCTTTTGCAGCATATCATTAATTTTTTGTAAGATAACACTTTTCACAAGTCCAACTTTCTATACCTCACTTCTCACATTATCCAGAGGCACACACGAAAATGATACAGGGAAAATGCGTCGCACAAATGCAAAGTGTCTCACGTAACGCGATTTAAGAATTACTTTTTTTCTTTCTGTAATAAATGTTTTTTGGCATAACATTACTTTTCTTTTCTCCTTGATGTGTTTTAAACGATAAATAAAATATTTACACGAAACTTTTTGTGCCATACACTCTCTAAATTAAATACTTTTATTTTCGGTTGTACATGTTAAGACAACTGTGCCTCTGGTACACCTTTTTCTATTTTTCACAGCACACAATCTTTTTTTTCACTCGTCATAAGTGTATACGATTATTTTCAATCTGTCTTTCGTTTGTGTAAAGTAGCCCTTTATTTAACACTAATATACTAACTCTACACACACACACATACACATCACACAAAAGCGTAGCGAAACAGCTGTTGTCATCAGTAACATAATCATATAAAATCGTTGGTAGAAATACATTTAACGAATAATGCACGAGTGTGCATATAAATATAGAATCATATAAAGTTCATTCTTTAATTTTATCATTTTCAATTTAAGAATAAACTACAAAATATCAATATAAAATGTTATTATATATTTGAGAAAATGTTTAAGAGAAGACGAGGATAATAATCATATTTTGGAATTAGGGAAAACGAACGAATACATTTTGAACTAATGAAGTTTAATCTAAAGAGCGCAAGATATCTATAGATAGAGTCAGAGAGAGAAAGAGAGAGAAAGAGAGAGAGAGAGAGAGTGGGAGAGAGAGAGAGACAGACAGAAAACTCAATCAACAATAAGAAAGGGTAGCGAAACAAATGAATGGCTGTTTTGCGTACGATAAATTAACACGGCAATACATTTTAGTCTATCTTACTTAGGCACTTGTCACGTAATACCTAGATCTTTAATCAGGCTCGCACACGAGCTAGTCTTTAGATACTTAGTGCCTTTCTGCGGAGAGGCTCCTTTCTTTTTCTAACCGCACGTTTCCTTCTGTCAAGCTAGTTTAGGATAACGTCGAAGAATAGCTCTCACTTCGATCTATATATCACAAAGGGAAGGCGATCTCTTCCCCCACACTTAACTCTCGGCGAGGTGTCCCGCACGTGCGAGAGGCTCCCGCAGTGATATATACGATTGTAACACGTTGTCAGAGTTGTTTTAGTCGTCGTGTTGTTGCCGACACGTGGGTACCACGTGGCTATGTACGCACGTGTACGCGCGTGTAGAAATATCGGCTCTTTGTCGGCCGGCAATACCGGTATAGTTATGTGTAAGTAAATCACCTCTTAGAGCTCCGTCTCTCTCGAGCCTATTTAGAGCGAGAAGTAGCCCGATGAACCAATCGATTCTCGAACGTATAGCCCGCCTTTTGCCTCAGTCTACGACAAACGCCTCTTAGACATGTACACTCTTTTCTTGCCAAGCAAGCCTTTTTTCGATTGATTAAACGTATATAGTTGGCGATAGCCGATTCTTTTAGAGCGTGACGTAGAAACTTCCTTTTTATTCTGCCGGACTGTCCATTTTGCTCACGAGCGTTTGACGAACATCTCTCTCTTTTCTTTAGTTTGATGCGAACTTTCCAAAGTAGTAGAAGTTGGAGTTACATTGCTCTAAGCGTTTTAACTTCGCGCTCGTCACAAGCTCAAGTAATACAACATCCTAATAATAAAAATGCATTAGCTATCACGGAATTATTGGCGCAATAATTGGGTGTCTGTAATAATTAGTGGCGATTAAAAAATCACTTGAAAGTTGTAATCATTAATTTTATTATTAGGAAGTCATTTGCGCTGTCTTGTTTACGCGTGAATATCGATTGCCTCGCTTGATCTTACTAAGAAAACAGATTCGAGGATCATCTAATATCTAAGCAAGTAACTTGACACGCAGCGAAGATATGAAACTTGAAGTTTATTCGTTTCTCTTCTCTTAGATGCTAGATAATCCCAAAGATATCGTTTTCTTACGGTGCGAAGTTAATGCGGCAGCTGATGATAACGCTCCTGCTAGCTATAATGCCGAAAAGATTTTTTTTTCCTGGTTTCTTACGAGTTTTACTGCAGTAGTGTAGAGAAGATTAATAGGCACTTTTTTGACCAGTGATTTCAGCAGTAGACTGGTAGTCTTGCCCAACTTATCCGATCGCTTTCTACTAACTAGAACAGTTTTCTGCTTTCTACTAGAGCAATTTTCCGCTCTTTTAGTTACACATCACACGTCATTTGACACGTCACTTTATATCGTATACACACGCACAGGTGTTAACGCGCACCGACACAAACTAAATCAACCTTAACGATCTGTGATACAGTAAGCCTTTCACATAATAACAATTTATTCAAGTCTTGGCGAACAAGCTGTTCCGCAAGAATCACGATAAATTGCTCCTGTGAATCGCGAATACGGCGAGCAACCCCGAGCGTGTTCGACGATGCTTACGAAAAGTGCACCGTGAAAAAAATATATTTCGTAAACATTGATGATCACTTCCTCTCTCGTGGCAAGCAATTTGTAGCTCGATAGATGAAGAACAATTTAACCGCATCTCATTTATTTGCATTCTAAGTGTCTTTCGATAGATACAGCTCCTCTTTTTTACGGATTTAGCAAGCACTTGATAAGTCACCGACATATGAAGGATGTCCCAAAAATGACGAATGTTTAAGCAGCAATAGAAGCACTTGCTGATAATAAGAGATTCCCGTTTCCTCAAGAATCGAAGGCAGAAGTAACTGCCGGTATAGAACGCGTGGTATATACCAGTGATTTTGGGACATCTCATATAGCGGCATGTTCCAGATTCCTCAACCTTGGAATATATACTTCTACCAGTGAACTCTATACTGGAAGACCTACTGCCCTCTTGAAGAAGACGGACAGAGCGAGACAGACCAATGGTTTCCATTTCCGTCTCTTTCTGATAATTTTGATTATCTTAAAATGACCGATATTATCACCACGCCTGTCTCGCTCTGTCCGTCTTCTTCGAGAGGCCAATAGATCTTCGGGTATAGTATAGAGTTGACTGACTTCTTACTCAGACCCGTTTTTTGCATTACCAAGCAGCAGAATTTCAATTTTGTCCACGATTATTTGGCATATCTGTATAATCTCCGCGGAGTGAACTATCCGTGTTCTACCTCGCGAATACAAATTGTCTGTCGCTCGCGACGCTGATAATGACGCGAGAAGAATTTTGACGCTCACGATCGGCGCAAGGTTTAAAATAAATATAGTACACCGCGCGCAACTCTGGTAGAACATCGGGACTTCACCCGTTTCGTGCATGCTTACTAACGATTGCATTCTTGCAGTACTCTATTACCGTCTCTTAAACGATTAAACGCGTTTTCTTACTAACGCATTTGTGTCCACTTGTAACACTTTCGTATACGTGGGAGAAAGGGGCGGGGGAAGAACAATATTTCTTATTCTTTTTCTTTTTTTTGATATATGTAACATGTGCAATCTCGATCAACATATACAGGCTTTGCGACGCAATACAAAATTCGTAATCCCGCTGCAATACCGTTTACGCTATTGTTTTGCAATTCTATACATTCACACACGTTCTCTCGAACGTATGTAGTAGTTCCGAAATGTGTGTCCGCCGTAAGATCGACACAAGTAAACGCACCACCACGGCATGCCTTTTCTCTAGCATGGCCGCCTCTTTACTCTGAGAATTCTTTCTCACCGTTTTTTACACTTACTGATTCTTAACTTTGAATGCTTCCGATCTTTATAAGCGTTTCACATTCTACCACGATTTTTCGAGAGTCCACCGGCGAGAGGTAACGCTAAGAAAAAAAGCCTGTATGTGCCTGTACATATATATATATAGTTTATTATATATTATGCGGAGGAAACTAAAAAAAATGGAGAAATAAAAAACGCAAAAAAAGGAAAAGAAAGAAATTGTTGATCGAAAAAAGAGATCCCTGTCGATCAGCTCTGATAGCCGGTGTGCTTTCGCACGTTTCGCAATTTAGCCGTCGGCCTTCTACAACTGCCTGCTGGACATGGCGGCGGTAAATCACACCGGAAATAATCACGGAGTCGGAAGTAGGGCGAACAGCCTGGAACCGGTGATGCGACCGGCCGTGGACACGAAGCACGAACGACAGAAAGAGCACAGGGATGAGGACGATGGAGCCCTAGGCGTTCTCGCAGCCGCCGAGCACAGACGTCAGCGTAGCATCAGGTATGCAATTTCTTATTTGTTGAAAGCGAAATGCGTTAAGACAAGATAAACGCGAGTGACTGGATGAAACCGGTTTTCAATTAGATCAGTTGTACACATCAGTGGACAATGTAGATACTTTCGGGGAAATTTTTACACTCCTTCTCAAAGAGGCAAAGTAATTGATCGAAATTCAGCCATTTATGAATTTATTCTGATTTTTCCGGATTAGATATATTATACGTATAAATAAAAATCACAATTTATATAATTTGGATCGCACGGATAGCCTGACTAATGGGCGCCTCATAAATTACGAAAAATCAATTTCACATTGCGTAACGTACGGTCTCACTTATTGTCATATCTTTTTGCCAAGAGTGCACCAGGGTGGCGGTTGCTTTGGTTTCAGAAACAAAAAGGTGAACTGGAAGATGTCTCGCCAGTACGATATACTAGGCAGCAGCGGAGAGAGTAGCCAGGGAGGGGGTGGGTCTGGGGTTGTACTCGTAGTTAATGACGAGGATCGCGCCCCCGAGCTAGAGCCATTGCTGGCCGAGGTGCCCTCCCAGCGGGATGATCAAAACAACTACTACCACGACCATCACCATCACGACCAATACTACTACGATACCGACAATGATCAATACTATGACCACCACCAATACTACCACCACCACCATCATCATGACCACCGACCACCCTCGTACTACCAACACCAGAACACCTACGCACCTCGCTCCTCGATCCGTTACCAGAAGGTGTCGGCTCGGTCCAAGCTCAAAAAACTATCCTCGATTTTTCGAGAATGTCCTTCTCTCCCCCTCTCTAACCCTATCTGAAGTAGATCGCGATAGAAAAAGCCGGAAAAAACCTTGCCCGTTGTCTCGCTAAAAAAAAAGTATATATATATATATCAATCACATAGGAATCGCGATCGTGTGTACGATACGTTTAAGATGTCTTAGCCTTCTGGCAACTACAAGATGTTTCTGAACCGAAATTCTTTCGAAGCTGTTTTCTTCGAAACTTTTGTCTTTCTTTTTTGGAACTAATTTTATTTAAAGAATTTAAAGATACGACTGTTAAGCTCATTTTGACTATAAAACTGATAGATTTTGAATAATAATTTGTCAATTTTTATTCAACTAAATTAAGTTAAATCTATTCGATACAATAAGCTTCAGGTTTTTGCACTAGAGAATGTGTTTGTTAAATTACTTTTGTTTCTTTTAATAGTATAAAAGCAGATAAGACGTTTATCGATATTGATATTTTTTTATCACAATTTTTTATAACAGTTTAATGATAAAACTTTATCGAAATACAGAAACATCCTGTAATCAAATATAGATCTCGTATATTCCGTTCTACTTTATCTGAAAATAATTTTAGATTAGGTCTCTTACCGCGAATTTACTCTGCTACATTGATCTAACTTAGGATACTGTCTCGCACTTAGTATTGTAATTAATTGTGTCACCTTAAGTATTTTTAGAAAATGTGACCTTCTCCCAAAGAATTCGTGTAACAACATTTAGATAAATGAAAAACGTTCTTAGATACAATCCTGTTAGTAATGAAATTAGATTTCAGAAAAATAGTTAAATTCCCATTAGAAACGAATTGGAAACACTTGTGTTTAAATTAGATTAGGACAAATCGTTTTAGATAAGCCAATCGACGTTGTCTAGCAATTCGAGTTTCAATGTTTCCAATCCTTAAAGATGAATTATTCAAGAAACATCGCGCGGATCGAGAGGTATTGCCCGTGATGTCGTGATCTTGAGCGTTCAAGACCGATTTGCAGTCGAAATTGGAAGAAGTTAATAGTAGGCGTCGGACAAACCGCGTGCCTCTACTACTTGTCGCGCGTCGTGCGAAAATTTCTTTCGCCGCTCGCTGAGAGAATCGGTCTTGGTCGAATCGATTTTGATCTCGTTGAGTGTGTTAGCTCCTGTAAATAATGACACCTAGAAACACACGCTCTAGCGCGAAACACTACATAGAGAAATAGTCACGTGCATCACCCGAACGCTCTTAGCGACTCTTCTCGTGTCGGTGCATAGAGCAGCTCCCACCCCCTTGTCCCTTGCTGCTTTCGGCCTTAGGATTATCGCAACGGAGCAACGAAGCAGTCAACACGATCGCGCGACTGCCTCGTTCTCCTCTCGTCTGTCATATTTTGCCTTGATTCTTTATGTCCACGTCCCGGTAAGTAAGTAAGAGAGCACACACTCTTGCGAGAGAGACTTATGTCTCGAAGGTAGCGGATATCTTCCCTTTTTCCAATCAAGCGATCGGAGCTTATCGGCGAGTGCATGTGCATGAGCGAGACTTTTCTAACTTGCATGCCATTTAACACACACACACATATATATATGTATCTCTGTGTGTGAATTACTCTTACTCCGCCTTATCTCTCAATTTCTCCTGATTTTTTGCGAAGCTACATTTAACTTTGTTAGTGACAAAAGCGTAGGCTGAAAAGTACAGAGAGAAGCAGATCGCACGTGTCTGATTAAAAAAAAAAAAGTATTGTCCCGCGTTTTTCTCGACGCAGCATTGATCAACGTGGTTGTCATTGCTACATTAAACCATCGCGACATTGTGCGATAATAAAATTGGTATTTGGTAAAATTTTACCAATATTATTAATTTTATTAGCAAAAAAGTATATTCAATTCTTACTTTGGTTGATCTAAATTGCTCGTATTCCTCACGAACGCACTATGCGTGTGAACAACATTTAATTAACTAAGTTTGTAATATAAATGAGCCGAATGACAAGTCAAACGTGCATCTGCTTTTGAATTCCGGAGACAAAAGGCGTCTCGATAGTCGTGTTACGGTAGCTTCTTGTTCGGAGCACGCGCGAATCGACAGCGCGATATTGCTAAAGACAAAGAACCGGCAACACCCCGACTCCCCCTTCGATTCCCGATCCGACTCTAAATTACGCAGGCAAACTACTAAGTCGCAAGTCTGTTCTCGTTTAGGACCTGCAAGACGTCATACCGTCCGACTCGCGTGCCGGTAGCCTCGAGAGTCTCACGCATCCTGGCGACAGAGGCCTTCGTCCGCATCATCCCTCGGCGCCTCCCACTAGACGTTCGCGATCACCAAGTATAAGGTACTGGGCGTAGTATGTAATAAGGTACAGAGTCTCCCGAGAAATAGCCACGCTGTGTCACATGCCTAGTCGAGAAAGGAACGAAAGCCTAATGTATGCTCGAAATTGTAAAAAACTGTTAATGAAAGATATATATTCCAGTAAAATGTACGACATAAAATTCAGGAAAATTAAACGTGAATATATTCCAAAGCATCGAATCAAGGATGATGCTCAGAGCGATCTAACCAGCGTTTGATTATAGACATGGCTAACGCATTAGCTGGGTTTATGCGGTGCTGTACGCGGCGTGTTGTGATTTTCTCACTCGTTGTTCATAATTTGCAGAAGACACTCGCCAATAATGCCTAGATCGCCATCGCCAAGGCGACACGGCCGGTACGACCATCAAGATCAATATCATGACGGACCAGGGTTTAGCGATACCGTTAGCAACGTCGTCGAGATACAAAGGCACACTCATCACCCCCACTCATCACAATATAATCATCGGCATAGGATACGAGGTACGACGTACCGGCGATAATTCCGACCAGCGAAAGCCACGACGGTGCAACGATAAGTCTTTTTCACGGAACCACGACAGCGAACTCTATTTCGTGTTGGTCATCTCCAACCGGTTTCTCTATCTCGTTGTCTTTTATCAGCCTGGATTATACTACGAACACAGCATCCTTGTATTTATTCTTATCACCGTATCACCGATACCTTCATTTTCTCTTGGTGTTATTTCTATTATGTAATTATTCTTGATTATGATTGATTATTATTCATTATTATTGATTATAATTATCTCCAACCGGCTTGGTGATATAATTGAAGCACCGTTTCGAAAATCTCTACGCGAAGATATGCGCTTTTGTGTACACACGTTCTATTACAGACTTGTCAGTCGTAAATTTTGTAGATTGCAATCTGTTTCGCGATCAGCGGAAGCAACGAAAGAGAGTTCGTGGTCACGGTTTTATTTAAAAAAAAAAAAAAGAAAACATGAATGTTGCTATAATGTTAATTTTACTCGAGGCAGAAAAGCTCTGTGTGATACTCGATGTAATACGTTTCTTCGTTCTGTTCTGTTATGCGCCTACACAGACTATTACGACCACTGCGACTATTACGACGATGGTAATTTCTTTCACAACTCTCCTCTTCTTCATTCCCTTGTCTCCACGATGCAATTATGATGTTACTACATAATCAATACGATCGTTTGGCTTTCACTATTTTTTCTTCGTTCCTGTTTTGCGATGATACACACTCACATGTACACAGATAAATACACACACACATACACGCCAGAAGACACCACAAATCAACGCAATAGATTCCAAACAATCAATATGTACAACACCAATAGCATCAATGTTTAACACGTTCACGTCGAAAGCGATTCTCTTCTTGTTACTATTCGATGCTTTTTTACATTAGAGACGCTGTTGAGACCAAGTAGCTTTATCGATCAAGTAAATTGATTTTGAAGTAATCAATTGTCATAGATCATATTGGATCGTTATTGTAATCTGTTAATATGTTTCATAGTGCATTCAGTTCTTAAATGCAATCCACAAGTACAATTTATTATTTCATAGATAGTTTGACGCGACATTTATGATTTTGAAAGATGTAACATGTATATGCCGATCGTATTTTTACATCGGCGTATTTAATTAATTTCACATTCTGATTTGCAAATAATTATATATTGTTACGTCCTCGTGTCACCTACAATCTGTGATACTCGATCGATCGAGGCAAAGAACATGAAGCATTAAAATCATTTTTAGAATTGACGCTCAATCAAATATGCTAAGCAAAGATATGTCCGAGAGACTGAGCGGGTTTCGTGCGCGTTGCGAGCGGCCCGTTAACAACTTAATCGCCAATCTTCGCATTTCGTTGTGTTAAATTGCGTTCATTGCATAAAATTCTCCATGAAATCATTAGTCTCCTAAATCAGTTTCCTTCGTATCCGGGAGTACGGGAGTATCTCGCGAGTAAATTCGTGAAACGGCGCTCGGGCGTAACGATATGAATTGTAGAATTGCAATATATCGAGCATAATTTAGCTTGTCTGCAAGAGAATTAGAGAGTTTGGGGATTTTGCACAATAACTGTTGAGATTATCACGATTATTGATGCACTTTGATAATTTAGTATCGTAGAATGTGTGCGCATGCTACGTTAGACGCCTCATAGAATTTTCAACACGTTAATATTTAGAGCACCGATGTGTGTTTGCACTACTGGTTCGATTGATTTCACAGCATTACAAACACGAAACATTACAAGCATGTTGCATTTTTTAATCCTCCTTCGGATAATTTCAAGATAACTAGCACATATATTTGGCATCTTTTTCCATTACTTTTCAAAAATCGTATTACGACTCGTAATTATTAATTTCGCAAAACGTAGAGATCAGAAAAATTACATCAATTGCTCCATTGTTAAGTTCTCATTACTACACATTTAATAAATATATTCGGCATTCTTTCTAAAAAAAAAAAAGAAATAATAGTTGGCCCTACAAAGAATAGTCTCACTATTAATAAAGTTACATATTTTGTTACAACGGTATCATTAGTTTGGTCGTCGATCCTGAATCCTTTTCGACAAATCGAGCTCTTCTACCTTCGCACAGAGACCGAGTGATTGAATCTAGATTAATTTTTGTTCTATTGCAAGTCGGTTAATTAGACAATCGAGCGAGCAGTAATATTGAAAATTGTCCGGTTCCCCCAATATCCGCATCAGGCTTCTCAACAACCACATGCTTATGATTTACTTGTCGAGCAACCCCTGCGCCGTGTGTCGAAAGAGCCCCACCGCAACGATTGTGCCGCGCGTACAGTGCAAACAGGGAGACTTTAACAGGCATGTTTATTAGGTCCGTGGAGCGCCTCGACGAGTCCGGCCAGGTCGCCAAGTCCGGTTCACAGGATCGAGCGCGGTGGCCATTACGGCACGACGAGTCTGGAGCAGCGTTCGAGGAGTCCCAGCCCCATAGGCGGCAGTCGTCCGCATCACCATCACCATCGCCATCATCCGCATCAACACAGCTACCCGGTGCTGGTTGCGAGGAGAGGCCAAGGTCGCCGGCTGCCGCCGACGCCGAATAAGCCGTCGACCTTACAGCTGAAACCGGCCAACATCAATTTCCCCAAGCTGAACGCCTCGCCTACCCACGGACCGCACGTGATGGCGCCGAGCGGACCGGCCCACGTACCAGCGACACCCGTGCCCGGTCATGTGCTGCAGCATCCACACCCGCCATCGCACATTCCGCCCTCCAGCGTGCAGCCGAGCCATCATCCGTTGAGCTTCGAGCAGGCTGTCGCGATGGGCCGCGGCGGTCGTCTGCTGCCCAGCCCGGTGCCCAACGGTTACAAACCGCAACCGCAGTCCAAGCAGAGAGCGCCTAGGTAAGGAGTCCTTGCCGCGCGTCTCTGTCTCGAACAAACTCATCTTCCATTATTTTAAATTCAATTTGCTTACAATCAGTCTTCCTTTGCTTCTTCTTGCCGTACATTCTCCAATAAAGTTTGTTGCATTTACACTAAGTTACTAACTGTGATTCACACAAATTGCTTTAATCTACTTGCGTTTTCGGAATATATACCGTTTCGCTGCAATCTCCTCTTGATTGGACGGATAATGTAATTGTTTCGGACAGGTCGAGGCACTCGGACAGTGACGAGGACGATTGGTGCTAGCCAAAGTGGGACCCTGGACGGTGGTCCGGTAACGTGGACGCCCCCAGGCGTCTCAGGGTTTGCGCGTGATAGTCGTCCACGTGGGACGCGCGTTGAATTTGATGTAAAGTGCCGCGGTCGACGAGGCTTCTGGAGGCCCCCTCCAAATAACGACTGGCCGAAGAACGGTTCCACGAAGGAGTTGTTCCAGCCACGACCACGTTGCGGCGACCGAAAAAGGTCTAAGGGAGTTGAACGAGAAAACGATTCCAGGCGGACGATGCTCGGAGCAATCTCCGATGGCTAAACACGGCGACCGAACAGGGTCAACGAACGTACCAGAGGGGCCGATTTCTGTACGAACGCACACGGGAAATCGGCGGAGCTATCATTCACATGTCAACGTCGCACGAATCCGCGAACGAGGAGGAGTGCGACGCGCGCGGTTCTACAAATCGAAATCCAAGTGCAATCAAACGGCCGAGCTCGACGAATTTCGAAGATTCGCTCTTGGAGCCTGGATACCAGGTCAGAGAAATCGGGGAAAGATCGCCTGGTGCGATCGTACGAGGATCCGAGAGGTCGTCCCAGAGACGAATTCCGTTCGATCGCCGCTCCGTCGCAAGACGCTCCACCGTTGAACGCGAACGACGCACGGCGAAACGAAGACGGAGCTCTCGAGATCGCGACAGCTACGTCGAGAGACAAGGTGGTAGGTTGCAGTGAAACTCGTCGTGCACGACAGTGATTGAATAATTGAGCGGACGTTCCGGGAGACTCGAACCCTCCGACATTATTCGCGAGTTAATATTTCAATCTTCAACCCCGGCCCGATCGAGCTCGGGGGAAGACTTACTTTTTATACAATTTTCCGGAGGAGAGACTCATCGAACGCCCGAATTGCGCTGTGATCACCACGAAACGTTCTCTTACGTATGTGTGTGTTTATGTATGTATGTGTGGTCGTATGATTTTTGTGCGTGCGTGCGTAAGAAAACCCCCTTCCCCCACGATTCGTCGGAAATCGCGACTGATGTACCAAATCGTTCCACTTCCACTCGTGAAAGCGCCGATTAAGTGATGTTAATTGTTCAACGACGACGTTAGTTGACGGACAATCCAAGTAGTGGAGAGAATGGCAGTTGGTTTCAGGATAAGGTTTACATCACTTTTGCAAGCTGAAGATTTCGAAATAAACAAAGGGATCCGAAATAGCGTTGCTTTATTTCGAAATCTGAAGAGGTTTCGCGTTTTCTTCGCTGTAAGTATCGTCGGGACGATTCGTCGGGAGATTCAACCGCGCGAACAGGACGGACTGGTAAACGGGTGTTCCCCGGCGAATCAAGCGGAGAAGCCAATGAAGAAAGCGTTAATAGGATTACAAGTTGGATCAAGGGTCGAGACGCGCGAAAGAGAATTCTAATAATTCCGCCGGGATTCAGATTAGCCCCCCATTTTGCCATTAACCAAATCGCGCGAAAGCGACGCCCCTAATCAAATGCGAATAATCAGAAATCGCTTCGCCGAAAGAGAGACGCGCAAGGACCGCCGCTACGAAGTGCCGATATTGTATTCGCAGTCGCGGTTCTTGTCAAATCGAAACGCGAGACGATCGTAGTCGTCGTAAGGGTAACGGGGAGGGGTGGGAAAACCAAGGGAGCGGACGAGAGAGAGGTGAGCGAACGCGAACGTCGTCGTTAATTCGCGCGGTTGTTGCCTCGCGATTCGTGCCAATCAAGAGTCATTAGGAGAAACGTTGCGGAAATGAGGACCACGATCGAGGAACGCGCACTTGAGACAACGGGATGAGGAGGATGAACAATTGTCGCACGGGGGGGAAGACGCGTAAAAGGGAAAGAGAGTAAAAGGGTGAGCCGACGCGGAGAGGTAAACAGTTCTTACCATACGGTTTTCAAAAGCACTCTTGTAAATTACTGCGTATAATTGAATTACAAATATTTATTACTTATCACTGCTAATATCGTTATTAAATTAACACCCGCAGAAAGAGATGAAAGAAACAGCTACTTCACTCTACTATTACACTATTAACTACTAACTACCGCTACTACCATTACTACTATATTACGATTTACTACCGCTACTACCACTACTACTACTGTTACGATTACTACTACTATTGCTGCTGCTACTATCACTACTACTATTACTCTATTACTACAACTACTACTATTACTAAACTATTCTACTATCGTCGCTATTAACGCTGTTTACTATCATTACTGTAATACTAAGTGTGCTAATTACCGAAGCGCGCGCGCGATTTCGTGAGGGATAAACGAGAAGCATCAATTTTATGTAATTAATTTGTCTTCAAAACTCGTGAATTTCGCCGTCGATCGTGCGTTTATACAACGGACGGCAGAACAAGGGAGAGAAAAAAAAATAGAAGTCGAGAGAATTATCCGTACATAAAACGAAAGCTTGCTAAACGAGCAACACGTATCCGAAACGAGATTACGTAATAAGAAAAGAAGAATAAAATCATTATATTATACATAAAGACACATTTAATATACTGCCAATCGTACGGGGTGTTTTAAGCGGAAACACACACACGAGAATACGTAGGTGTACATAAACGTACGTTTCTTTTTTTTTCCTGCGACACGTATAAATATTACGATATAACTGTACGTAAGTGTACATACCCGGTGAGCGAAAGAGAGGGAGAGAAAGCGAGAAAATGAATGAAGAAGTGAGCGAATGGTTGTGAGATAATTGAATCGACAAATTTGAGAAGCGAAGCAACTCGGCCGACATAAATAATCAAGTCGCCAGACAGAATGATCTTTCTTCACCAAGTGTTTTATTTTCGTCCCGCTACTTTGATTTTTGTATTCATTAATTTTTGTGTGGGTGTGTGTGTAATCATCGAGAACGGCTATGGTGCTTTCGAGAAAAACTTTGGAAGAAACAGGGCTGAGACTTACTTCGTTTCCTAAATAACTCGATTGATTTCCGCTGTTCTGTGTTTGTTTGCGTAATTTTCGTGTATCGGCTAAGTTAAAATAAACGATAATATTGCCACTACGTAACGACATTAATTAATGTAAGTAGCTAATTCGAGCAAAAAAAAATGTGTGAATGCAACGGGGAAATTTACGTGAGGCGAAAGAATGGGGTGAAAAAGAAGAAAGGAAGAGTGACTGATTTTCCAGCGTGATCGGCATATAAAGATCCTTGGTGAATGAACGGGCGTTAATCATCGAACTTGTTTGTATTATTCAGCGATTAAAAATTCAACAATATATAATAAGATCAATTTTTCCAAAGAGAAGACTACAGACTTATCCAATCGCTTTAATATATTGTCTGATATATACATATATACATATATATAGTAATGTAAAATAATAAAAATTAATAATAAAAAGATAATTCAAGAGAGTTTGGATAATTGATATCTTCAATGACATTAATTATTTCCAGGTCCAGGTAAATCAAATTTGAATCGGAATTAATGCTCTCTCTTCTATGATATAAAAATTATTTTAGAAACAAGAGAGAGAAAGAGAGAGAGAGAGACAGAGAGAGATAGCTACGGAAAGAGAGGGAAAGAGAGAGAAAAGATCACCGAGGATCTCGTGAGCGCATTTTTAGTGACGTATAATCAGAGTCGTGTATTTTCTTCCCTTAAGTGCTTTAATAACTGGATTGTACATCGTGTATAAATTGTCGCTGTGAAGGAAACCTATAATTAGAATCAATGGGAATGAATGCGATATGAAAAGGAACACTATCAATCAATTCGCTAATATTGGTCCATAGAATTGTCTTCTTTATATTAATTTGATGTTTCTCTTTTTATAGACGGAATAAGAATTAAAATTGGATTTACTTTTAACGTTTTCAATGTGTGACAAATTTAAACGATTATTGAGGAATTTACAATTCGTTCGAGAAATTTTTAGTGTAGCTGGTATTAGCGAATGCAAGATAAATAGAGAATGATTCATACAGATCCGCAACATCGTGATAAAATTGAACAATTATGATACGCGCGCGCACGCGCGCGCGTGTGTGTGCGTGAGTGTACGCGAATAAGATTAAATATTCATAAAAATGTTTTTCTGTGATAAATATATTTCGAAAAAACTTAGCCGGTCCGACGATACGGTCGCGTCGATGAGCCATTTTGCGGATCCAAAAGTAGGTACATGTTAACGAAAGTGTAGAGAAAAAAAGAGAGCCGCATTTAACGCAAAACTGTCGTCGAAGGTTCTTCTCTTTTTTTTTCTTTTCATTTCCGAACACCGTGTTTTCTCAGAGCATACATATAACCACCCTCAATAACAATTTAATTATCTAATTCTAATGTTTGTTTCATGTGAAAATTGAGATTAATATCGATCAAATTAGATATGTTTATATGTGCGTGATGAAAATTGTATAATTTTCAATTTCATAACGAATGGAAAATTTATAATTAAAACATAAGAAAATTAAACACGAAGTGTAAATGCAGCTCAATGAGAATACATGGATGAGTCGATAGATATATGATGTTTAAAAGGTAGAGAAAAAGAAAGACAAAAAGAAAGTGAGAGTGAGAGAGAGAGAGAGAGAGAGAGAGAGGGGAGGGGGAGAAAGATGAGCGAAAGAAGAAAAAGAAAGAATGCATGTGCACATATAATGTATGCCATTTAATGTACTACACGTATGCAGAATACGTATATGCGTGAAAGGATAACGGTGAAAAAATTAATCTTTTAATCTTCACAGACTTTCTAATGTCATAAAAGGATGATGACCAAACTCGTAAACGAGGAATTAATCAACCGTGTAATTCGATAATATAAATATTAACGTAATTGCCGTTTTTAAAAGTGCTAATTTAAATATAAAAAAAACTACGAGAACTTCAAGACGAATCCGCGATTAAATTACAATTAAATAACAATAATGTAATTAATGCTAATATCAATTATAGCTGTAAGATAACTATAATAATGATAATGATAGTAATAATACCGCGATAAGGGTAACAATAACGATTCTGCGTCTCGTCTGACGGCATCCAAAAGACTCTTAGGCACGTGACAAGAATATATAATCTCGCGTGAGAGATAATTGTCGTCAAATGTCGAATACGATACTAAAAGTGAGCGTGATTAGGGACGAGAAGTTAGAAGTGAACCTGACAAATGTTATTAACACACTAGCGTTAGTAGAGTATAATATCCAAATTCGTCGCGTCGCAAGTTCACGATCTTCGAAGGTATCGCGTGATCGATGAAACGAAGCCTTCGGCTATTAACTGTACGGAAAGAAATATGGTTATTTATCTGGTAAAACAAAAACTCATATAAATAATACAAAACTGATTTTCCGTAATTATACGCTACGTGTCGCACAGTAATTTTCAGACGTTGCAACTGTATCACACAATCGGTGGTACACGTTTAATAGGTTTTATATTAAAAAAGTTAATTAATCAACCTGACTTTTAAGTGATAAAATAATTTGTTAGTCGTCAACGGACGAAGACGAATTCTGCAGATGACCTAATAAAAGAACAAAGTAGTCGATAAGATTAATAATTGACGCCGCTAATTAACAAAGTAAATCCAGGTCATTTCTTTCAAACATCTCATTTTTTAATTAGGTAGACCGAAAATAATAATTGGATCTTCAATTTTGTCAATGTTTTTTTAGTTTAAAGTCATTGCATACCTCACGTGTTCTGCCGAATTGCATGTATATTGCATTTAAATGTGACCACACGGCACGTTACTCGATCGAATCGCGATCGCGCGAACTCGCGGCGTATCGTCGGGCTCCCAGTGATATTAATACGAGCAAACGTAACGAGAAAGTAGGTAAGGATCGCGTTACGGCATCGCGGAAAGTTTTGTAAACGGCGGACGTCCGAGCGCGCAGAACCCGCAGGGTAGAGAGAATTTTAAAAAGGGGAAGAAACGTGCAGCGGGACAAGCGAGAGCCGAAATGACACTTTTCGAGAAATTCATTGATTGCTAGCGATAAATGACACGTGCGCGTTCCGTATGTGAATTATATAAATATGTATACATAAATTATGAATAAAATGCATCGAACACACACACACACACACACACACACACACACACGCACAGAGTGAGGTGCTTGCGGGAAGCTTGCGAGAACAGGTAAACAGGACATTCGCCTCAGGGGACGGTGCATCCATCCATTCATCCGGTGTGGATCCATCTGGTACAAACGAACAAGGAAACGGAAATAGAGAAATTCTCTCGGCTTGCGGACGAAACAAAACGGAATACAAAGTAACTCGGCGTTAGGCAGTGAGAAAGAGAGAGAGAGAGAGAGAGATCTATCGAATTGCTTCTCGGCCGGCGTACAGTATGTCGAAAGAGAGGAGCCTACACAAATTACTTCCGCACGTATAACTTCTATTTATTTTGTATCCGTAAACGCAAAAACGTATAACCGCGGGGTAGAGACTTAATGAAGCGCGAGATTCCCTCGGGCGACGAGTAACGAATTGAAGAAACTAGAAAAGAGAAGTTATCGTTAAGTTTTTCTACTTTATCTATACATATATAAATATATAAATACGTCATATATAGAGAGATATATACACGATGCGTCTAGTATATATGAATACGAACACGTAAGGGATACACACGCTGTGCATAATTGGTATAAACAAACATTGAAAGCGTATAGTGTGAAACATTGAACGCCCTGTCGATAATAAGTAATCGTAATAGCGAAAAAGAGGCTGCGGAGAGAAAGAAAGAGAGAGAGAGGGGGGGAGGGAGAGGAGAGGCGAATGTGAAGGAGAGAAACTTCGTCACTAGAATCTCTTGGCGTGTCGGCGCTGGGGCTCCGTAGAGTTTCATACTTTTGCAAATAATCGAAAAATCTCGTCGACAACACTATACATAAATATACATATTATATATATATTATGACGATCTCTATACATATTATAAATATACCCGAGAGGTTTAAACCTGTTGATCTGAGTCTGAATCTAATTAAACCATGTGTAGCCGCCGTATGAACGTGATTTAGCGAATCGAAGTGTAGAGGAACGGAATCGTTGCAGAACGTCAATTTTTTCCGG